CTGTAAATATTTTATCTCCCTCTACCATGTCAGATAATCACCACTATTTTTAATGAATAGTTTCACTTCCTGATGTATTTGAGAACTTAAAACATTCACTCCCACTGGTCCTCAATTGTCACGTATCTGGAGTGGTTGATAATTGAACTTCTGACTAGGTCAGCAGCTTTCCTGGCTTTAGTTTTCTTGCCGGTGATGTCAAATTCTGATTTGTATGTTCTTTATGTCAGTCACCCGTGTCCCTTCCTTTGCCCTGCCTCCACTGTCCCCTCTCTTCTGTCCTAGAGCTTTGTGACTTTCTCTGCAGAACTTCCCAATCCCAGTCCTAAACCACATCTTATACTGACAACCCAGAGTCTTTGCCCCGCAGGTCCAGACGCCAACCCAGGGGTGACGTCCCTCAATGCTCAAAGCCTGTTTTCTTCTTGGGACATGCCGCCTTGTATAAACCATGTCTCCAGCCAGTAGAAGCTGTTTGCCATCTCTCCTCACAAGCAACTCTCTCCTGGGCTGCTGTTGGTGTTTTGCCCTGATCTAAGGTGTCTTTCTCGGACACACTCACAGAACTTACGTGCACCCACATTCCACGGGAGCCCCTCCCTCGGCCCTCTGCCTATATGGTTTCCCACAGCAGCCCTCCAGCAGGCTCCAGCTCGATCCTTCTCCTTGCTTAGCATTTAAGCTGTATTTCTTGTGCGTGGAGATGCTTATCGTGTTTTGATCCTGGTTATGTCTTTTCAATTTTCTTGTTATCTATCTTATCTAAAAATAATGTGCATTTAGAGAAGAAGAAAGCCTCCAAGTCTGAACTCATAATGCTATCTTGCCCGAAAGTCTCCTTTTCAATTTATTCTTTTCATCTGATCCATATTTCTCAACTAGTTATTAAAGGTAGTTCAATACTTAATTAAATTTTCTCCCACCTTCTTCTTTTAAATTACAATCTAGACTTATAGTCTCTAGTGGGGGTGTATCCACCCACCCGGGCATCCCTTTTATACAGAAAGGTTAATCACCAGGAAAGAGATGCCATGCCCTCTCCAGAACCTTCCATGGGGTCCTCCCTTCTTTCAGAGGCACTAATTTACAAATTACAAAGCAGAAGTTGCTGCCATGATTGTAAGTTCCCACTCCATTTAGATCACTAGTTTCATCTCTTTCTCAAGTTTGCCATTAAAATTTATCACTTAAGTGACCTCAGTAGAGTGGCAATCTAGAATGGAAACATTCCGTATGTTTATGGTATGAGTGTGTGTGTGCACGCACAAGCGCACACACAGGGGGGTGTGGGCAAGAGAGTGGGGAAAATAAAGAGATAGAGAAAGGGAGCAGAATGGATAGAAGTGGAATTGGTGGGGGTGGAGGAACAGGAGAGAGGTAGAGAAAGAGAGAGGGATTGTGCAGAGCGAGGGAACAATCCTTACCGTGTAAGGAATAGCAGAGTTCTAAGACGACTCATCTTTCAAGTTACTCTTCCCAGTATGCAATGCGCCATGTATCTACTGGATAGTTTGGGTCCTGTGTGTTCCAGATAAGAGTTCTTCTTAAGTCTTCTTGGAAACTGAGGTTAAGATACTCCATTCCCCAACAACTCTGTCTCCTCCTCAGCTGCCCACTGACTCCCTGTGATGAGTCACCTCCATTTCCACTGTGGACGTGTTTGTCATCTTACACTTTCCACAGTATGTTGGGGAGCACTTCTGTTCTCTTCTCTACCATTTTGTGATGAAAGAGGTATCATTCTTAATCCTTGGATCGATAGAGGTTACACATTTCACAGGCCAAATGAACAAAGTAATCAACTTCCCCAAATTACATTGCTTGATAGATCAAAGAGAAAAGGAAACATCTCATCGATCCCTCTACCACGTTCCTCATGAAAGCCTGACATTTGCCCTCCCCTTGAGGTTAATTACTATTCTCTCCAAATACACTCCGTAAGGAATAAAGTTTAACTTGCATTTTCGCTGCTTTGAGATTTTCGCTCTCCTAAAACTTAACAATAACTTCTTTTTTTTAACATAATGAGATAAATGAGATTAAGGAGCTACATGGTAATTGCCTGTTTATTAAAAAATTATAATGCAGTAAAAATGGGTAACTTAAGAGATTTTATTCTGGAATATTCTTTTGTAGGACTCGTTAGAAGAAATGGTCTAAATTTCATCCATCAGTTATACATCTTTTCACTATTTCACTCATGGTAATGATTTCTTGCTTACTTCAGTGACCATATCTCCCTGTTCCTTTTAATAACACACAGATAGAATGTTACATGCAATTGGATATAGAACTTCTCCCAAGATGGACCAAATTTGGATCTGTGTATCAAATACAACGAATATAATACTGATAACCCTATGATGGGTGTTTTGTTCACGTATGGCCCCTCCAAAACTTTACAGAATTCTAGGTAAAATAAGGAGGGGGATCTATGACTACAGGGAATATGAAATACTAGAACAGGAGAGAAATAACCATAATAACAAACAAAATATGAAGTAAGAACAGCTCACCCTATTGGCAGTAAGCAGATCGTCGGTAAAGAAGCATCAAAGATGTATTGCAGGCTGGCTCCCCACAATACAAGAATTCCTGGGAAGATTTTTAGGGAGTGCTCCCTTCCTGTACAAGGGAAGGAAATGAAACAAAATCAGGAGAAGCAGAGGGGAAAAGACAGTGCAGTCGTAATGGAAACTTCAAGTAATTCTGCAGGGACCATCAAGATCCTGCGACCCTTTAGCATTTTTCCCAAGTTAGAGCAAAGGTGTTGTCCCTTGCTGGCCCATGGTTTACCAGTGATCTCATCTATACAACCCCCAGAAGGAGCATGACCTTGGGTAAAATGCCTCATTTTACCCTGGAAATTCCAGAAGTGGAATTACAGCCAACGACTGTCTCTGGGAGGTCTCTAAAGAGAAGGGGGAGGCAGATCCTCCAGACACAAAAAAAGATCTGGCTGGCACAGCCCAGCTTCCCTGTAGGAGGTGGTACTTGATGTGAGCTTGGTGATCCTTGAAGGCGAAGTCACATTTTCTCAATGGAGGGGCTGTGCCTGGGGATACAGGGAGCCATTGTATGCCCTGCATGTGTGGAAGCATGGAAAGCTTCTTTCTGCAGGCAGTGGGGGCCAAATTGTTTCTTTGGTATTTACATGTTCTCTTTCTAAGGTGGCACTGATTTATACCACTGTTTTAAAGAGCTGGTCAGCTAATTTCATCCTTTATCAGTCTCTTCTGCTGACTGCCTTTTCTCTGGTAGTGAGTTATATTTTCCTGCCTCCCAAATATCTATTTTTTTTTTTTAATTTATACTGAGACATTCTCAATGTTGTGCCACTGGGTTTCTAAACTTCCATAACCTCCTTTAGCGGTGTATTGGAGATTTCGATATTTTATTTGTGAGCCAGATTGATCTTTTTTTCTGGCTTATTCCCAACTTTTCTCAGATGTTTCCAGAATAGCCTGTATTTGAGGACTAAATTTTTCTATGCCCTTTCTGAGATTGCTGTTGTTCAAGTTCACGCAGTCTTTTGTCATCTGGAGTCAAACTACGCCCAGCCCTGTGCAATCTCTGGTTATTCATTTCAGAACTACCTTCACTTGGCCTTATGGAGTCTTAGTCTGCAAGTCCTGAGTCTACACTCCAGAGACTCCCTGATGATCTTACAGTTTCCCAGAGCTCTTTCTCTGCACAGTCACCTCTTATCCGGTGGTCTCTGCTTCGAAGTCCAGTTTGTCAGTAGCTTCCATTCCGATCTATCTCAGTGACTCTGTTCTGCCTGGGATAGTCCCTCATGTGTCAGGATCTAGAAACTGCCACAGACAGAAAGCCAGAAAGCTGAGTGGGCCCCTTCATTTCTTTATTTTTAGGGACCAGGCTCCTGCACTGTCTGTTGTCCAGTTCCTCAAAAGGGTAATTTTATATATCACGTCACGTGTTTCTTATGTTGGGAAAGCTGTTCTACCATAGCTGAAAGCAGGAAAAAAACATATAAATATCATTAAATAAATGATATATCTGCGATGGCTTACAAAATGATTTTTATTACTATAGTTCTATAGAATAAACTGTTTTATTGTCAGTCTTTAAATTCCTTATTTGAAAAATGATACATGTATTTTGATATGCTGTACATTGGAATGATTTATTAAGTATTTTTCTATCATGTACTCCCATTAGTAACTGAATTCACTCAAAGAATTATATTACCTCTTAGCACTAAGCATGTCAGATTTTCTGTGATGTGTTTATGTACAATGAGAGTTATTTTACATAATATTATAAATTAAGGGTCTGTTTGTTCTATATTAGTGCTATTTTTCTAACAAATGTGTTTGCATTTGTACTATTTGTCTTTCATTTATATTGTATTTTGTGGAAAGAAGTTTCACTTCATTTAGTAGCGCAAATAATTTTCCAAGAAATTTCATTATGAAGAGGCTTTGATTGTCTACCTCTTAAGTGTTAGTAAATATATTGTCTTCTTACAAAGGCTAATGTAAAACTAGACCTCAACTTCAGGTCAAGCAGTATTATCTGAACTCTGAACTTTTAAAAACAAAATACATTGTAGAATTGTATATAATTACCTTTTTGCTTCATTTATAATCTCCTAAAAGATAAAACCTCACATAAGGAATGAATAGATTATTGCATATCTTTTCCTAGTGATTTTTAGTTGAAGAATTCATGGTAAATTGATCAACCCTCAGCCAATTAGACTTTGACATGTACTAATAAGATCTAATTGAGGAATTATGAAGACATTTGCTCAGGAGAAAATGATCACATAATTACACCATAAAAAGGTTAGAGTATCAATGTTACCCAGCTGGAAGAATATTAGTTGAAGTCCCGACGGCATCTGTAAAGGACACTTTATAATATATTTGTGAAATACAGCAGTGCCGAGGCCAATTAAAAGATGTACAATAATCCACTGTCAATCATGATGTTCAACTTTCAATATTCATTTCCTGTGCCTCTACCTTCTTCAGGTGCTGGGGGATGGTCTCCATCAGACAGTGACCATTATCAATGGCTTCAGGTTGACTTTGGCAATCGGAAGCAGATCAGTGCTATTGCTACCCAAGGCAGATACAGCAGCTCGGACTGGGTGACCCAATACCGCATGCTCTACAGCGACACTGGGAGGAACTGGAAACCCTATCATCAAGATGGGAATATCTGGGTAAGTCACTGTCAGGAAGTTGCAGACATGGATTTGCAGGTATCTGAAAAATGACAGAGGACTCACATTTTAAATATGACTGGATCTCAGTCTGTGGGGACTGGCCAGCTCAATATCTATTAAGACCATCCAGAAGCTATGTGTGTACATGTACATATATGAATGTATGGATGTACGTATGGACGTATTCTTGTTGACTGAAGAAGCAGTTTCTATAGTACAATGTCTCTCCAAGTCTGAGGACAATGGGCCTCAATCTAGGCTATCCATTTGGATCATCTGAATAAATTTTGAGTATATGGACAGCAGGCACACAAACCAATTCAATCAGAACCATGTAAAAGGAAATCAGATTAATGATAGTGATAACTTTTTTAAAGACAGAGCTTTTCAATTGAGTAGAATATTGAAATTATGAGGAAGTAATTTAGAGCAATAGGAGCAGTGATGGATGGTAGCAAAAGAAGTTTCTCATAACAGTAGTATAAACCCATATTAATGATCTGGAGTCACTCTGTTGTTTTATTGTGAGGTAAAATATAATATTTAACCTTAAAATATTTCAATTTAATTGCAAAGTTGTGTGTATTCCATCAAGTATTCAGCACACGGGAGTAAATTATTTTAAAATAGTAAATTTTGGGGAATCTGTTTTGGTTTAATTACTTTTTAAAAGCAGACAAAGTCAAGCAAAGCAATCGGTATTAGACAAGACAAAGAGAATGAGGAGAATAAACACTGTAGAGGAAGTTACTAGGCTCTTCATAGTTATTAGACTGAGAGCTGGAGATTTTCAATCTCATTAAGGTTCAATTTTGGAGAATTTATATTTTAAGAGTTCTCAAGTATTTGTGTGTGTGTGTGTGTGTGTGTGTGTGTGTGAGTAGCAGAGTGTAGATTCCTAGCTTAGATATAGAATCATTTCTATATTAGTGTCTAATGATAGTGCCTGACATAGGAAAATAAAGTTATGATGTTCTAATAATAAAGAATGTGTCTGTCAAGATTGTTCTTTACAATTAACTTCTATCAATTCATGAATGGCAAGAACATTTCTGTATTGAGATGTGTAAATTATTGGGAGCAGGTATTAGGAAAGACTATGGAAAGTCTTCATCTCACAATTAAAATAATTCCGTGTCTCTATGTAATTTATAGAAAAGTGGTTTTCAAACCTAGATATATAATGGAATAACCTAGAAATCTTTAAAACATATGGATGTCTGGTTCCCAAATCCAGAAATTTCAATTTAGATGATCTAAACCGTCCCCCACCAGCTCATTCTGTCATGCAACCAACATTGAGAACTGTATCCTAGATAGTTCTCGGCCTCTGGTAGGATGGGGATAGAGGAGCTTCATCCTGAGGAGCTATGGTAGTACAGAAAACTAGAAAGGATGTTCCCGAAAGTATAAAAGAGATCAACCAAGACCAAAGAACAGATCAACCGACTGAGTGTACACAATGAAGGCTCCCATCACAAACTCACTATTTTCTAATCCCATGTTGGATTCTAATATAAAATCAGATTAGCCTGATGATAAAATTAATTGAAGGACTGAAAACCAGACTGCAAACTACATTCCATACTTCTGTTTTTGTAAAATTTTCCTCTCATAATTGAAAGAATGTCAAATCCTTTCCTATCTGAATGCACTGGTAGTAATAAAAGTGACAACTAAAATACTGATAATTTATTTATCACATACTTAACAGTTAGGGATAGTTCCATTCTGACTAAATGTGGAGACATAAGTTCAGAGGGCTAAGGAGGGTATAATTTTTCAGGGTGTCTTAGGTTCTCGATTTACATAGAACGCCAGAGGTTGAGTGGAGTCAGGGAGATAAGACCTTGCCATGAATATGGAAAATTGTGAGGTAGGCTGTTTTTATATAGAGGACTCCCTTTTTTTTTTTTCTGATGGTGATGAAGAATGCATTTCTGATCTGTTCTGCCTTTCTGGTTTTCATTTTATTTCTTTTGAATCATGTGTTTCTCGTGAAAAATAAGCATGTGATGAGTGGCTATTTCTACAAGACTATAGTGAGCTAATTTTGAAATTCTAAAAACTATCAAAATTAGTTTGAGATACAAACTAAATATTGCCAACCATATTTGAAGATTTATTTATTTATGCATACAAGAACTGGGGTACAGGACAGAGGTACAGGGGGGTGAGGAGACAGAGTGGGGAACAGAACAGGTGGATTGACTGAAAGACACTGCTGAGGGGAGCAGCAGGGGAGTCAGGAGAGGTCTGCTGCACCATGTGGGTAGCTCCCTGGCCCGGGATCGAACTCGTGCTGCAGAGGCTGTGGATTGCTTCATAGGTTGCATCTTAACCCCTTGTGCCAACGGGGAGGCCCTGTGCCAACTATACTTGTGTCAATGAGCCTGAAACATGATTATATTACTTTAATAAACCTATCACAAATATGTTTGAATTTTTCCTAATATGGAAAAATAGTCCATTGCCTTGATATAATCTCAGAGAGAAAATTCACTGTTTTCTAAAACTTCTTGAGTACTTTAGAGCTTATGTCTTAACGTGCATTAAGTGATTAAAATTTGACATTTATAAATCACAACAAAGATACATTTGAATTTAAGTTTGTGAATAATTTTAACTATAGACTAGATTTTCTTTTAATCTACTCCTAGACAATATATATATGTTGCACTTTAGTGAAAGAGATTTCTGATGTAGATAAGATTGAACAACACCTCACACAATGTAAAGTTTTAAGTAGGTCAAATAATTTTAAAGTTGATGCAGTTAGTTTTGGGGTTACTTTTACTATCCATCCCTAAAATTATTGATTGTTTGAGAAAAATGTAAAATCATGTAAATTTAGCTTCTTGAATATTGTTCTTAACAAATGTCAATGGCTATTCTTTCTAAAAGGGAAATGAATCATATGGCTAATTTTATTATAATGTCCTTATCAAATGCCTGTTTAAGATTCTGAATTATTTTATGACCATTGGATAGTAGGTCAAAATAAGTTCAGAGCAAGTCATAATGAGACATTATGACAGTTTCATGAGATTTTAAAGATGTGAATATCACAGTAAGGAATGAGAATGCTTTGAAAAGATTCCTGAAAAATGGTTTATCTGAATATTTAAAACTCAGAGATGTGAGTGGTTAAATGTGTTTAACTATTCAAACCTTCTCATTCCTCTTGAATAATACTAAGCATAATAGAACACTTTCTACTTTATCCACATTATCACTTCCTTCTATTTAGAATTTCCTGTCCAATACTGAAGGAAAATATGTGCAGTTGGTAAAATTACCCACCAAATATCATTGTGTTTGCATATTCCCCAAACTCGAATTTGCATACTCCATTGGAATGTTCTCTGGTTTCCTAATATAAAGTTTCTGAGATAAGTTAAAGAAGTATTCTATGTAAGCATTTCTTATCAAAAGTCCATTAAATGTGACATTGAATAAGAATGCTAACAGCTTTGCTAAGATGCTACTAGTTTTATTTGGGAAATTCAATCACTGGTTTTTGAATGCAGATATTTGTAACCAAACAGAAAATTGGACTATTATTAGCAAATCCTTACTTTATGTCCCACTATTGCTTTGCTAGATGGTAACTTACTACAAATTTACCTGTAATGTGAACAGTTTGTATTTGAATTTCATATTACATGGTAAGAAAATGTTTACATTTTCTAAATTATTGTTAAAAACAATTTTGATCCCTCTTGCTAATAGTAGCAGGTGTCAGACAGGCATCAGTCATGATCATTGGTTGTATTTGATGGATCATTCTATTATTTATTGGATTTAAATTGCATGGTTTGATACTTGTCAAGAATATAGTGATATGTAAGTTCCTGTTCTCTAAGCAATCGATGATTAATTTGCTGTATGTGTTAAAAACCTATATCTGTTGCTTATTTGCTTTTCCCACATATTATGTATGTGGGAAATGCACACACACACACACATATACACACACAACTTCCTTGTTTGTAACAAATTTGAAGGATCTAAAATCCCTGGAAAGCAAATATAATAACAGATTAATTTACGTTATACCTTGATTTTTCTGAATAACTAGTCAATAATTGGTACATATGGTGTCTACTTTCTTTTTAACCAAAAATCCATGGACCACTATTTGCATAATAAAATGGCTAAACATCTTTCTTGATTAGCCTGAATCTGGGTCATGTATTTGGTTTATAAACTTGGAGAAGTCACTTTGTCTCTGCCTCAAAGTCCTAATCTGAGAATTGGGAATAATGCTCATTGGGAGATTCGAGTAAATGAACAAGAAAAGTTGCAAGTGATTAAGATTTAGAAGGATGTGTGTTCTCAATGGCCAGTCCTAGAAATGTTCTCCAAAAATAGTGCAGTATTTCTTTCCCATGCAGTCTACTACAGTGATTTTCAGATTGCTTAGCTAGCTCCTTCTGTGTCAGATGTAGTCCAGCTGTGTTGACTCTTACTCATGATGCAAAGTCTTTGGTGAATGAAGATTCTTTAGTGGACACTTGGTACCAACCCCAATAGCCCTTACCCCTACTTTCTTTATCAGAATAGGACAGTGCAACTGTGTCATTCTTGTGAGAGTCCTCAAAAAGAAATGCATTCATTTCCAAAAATAAAATATCTGACAATATGCTTGATGAAAGTCAGAGGTGGCTTGCTGACAAGTCTACAGTACATTTCCCCATTAAGGTATGGCATGGCCATTGGTAGAGAGTGCAGTCCAGGCTGTGCCCATGCGGCCAGGCTGGTAGACCTAGCTCTGGGCCAAGTGCCAGTGCAGAGCTTGTAACAAATTATTTGTTACCATAATGATGGCCCTGTGTCCAATGAGCCATGTAAGCGAATATTGTTTAAAATGAATGGATTATTCTGGTCTGTCTTTCAGCCATTTATTGGAGCTGTTGCACTAATTTTCCAATTCACTTAAAAATCTGTTCCAGTTATAAATGTAAAATATGATATAATTGTTTCACAGTTCAGTG